TTCTCGGCTTCTTTTCCCCAGCCATCCGCCATGGTGGATGGATGAATGACCTGAGCTAACATGGGGTTAGCTTGTTAAACAACTGCAATAAAGCCTCATGCTGATTGCATCAAGTTTTTGCCTCCACCTGGTGATTGGGGTTGTCAAGGTCCTGGGCCGAGATCCTGGGGGCCTGAGTCTCCGGGGGTCTTTCAACACCCAGGACCAGAAGCCAGGCAGCTGCCAGCCAGCCAGATACAGAGGAAACAGGAGAGTAAGACATATAGAATGGAAGAAAGGTAAAAAGCCCTGAGGCAAAATGTATATACAAAGAAACAGATTAAAATAAGAGCTAAGATAAGGCCAAGCATTCATAACTAATAAGTCTCCATGTCATGATTTGGGAGCTGGTTGGTGGCCCAAAAGAAAGCCTATTACATCGATGCTCACAAAAGAGCTGTCCCCCTGCACTCAGGAGAGACGGCCCCACCCCTCACACAGGGGAGGGAAAACTCACCCTGATGGTATAGGCATAGGGGAGCTGGCTCTGACTCCTCACCTGAGGGGGCAGCCCCAGTGGCCTGGACTCACCAGCTCAGCTGCTTCCCAGGCCCACAGCCCAGCCTCAGGTTGGTCCTAACATCTACCCCATCTGGGACCTGCTGGAGCTTGTGAAGGGGCTGCTCCTGTGGAAGGATCCGCACAGGATCTCCAAGACTCGGGGCTGCCACCGGATGTATAAGAGGAGTTCTGGTGAAGATCCAGTGAGGATGGTGTGCCAGAAACCAGAGGCTTCGAACCAGACCAGTGACTCGTTGCAATGAGCATTTTTGTTTGTTTTGTTTTTCGAGACAGGGTTTCTCTGTGTGGCTTTGGAGCCTGTCCTGGCACTCACTCTAGAGACCAGGCTGGTCTCGAACTCACAGAGACTCTGCCTCCAGAGTGCTGGGATTAAAGGCGTGCGCCACCAATGCCTGGTGCAATGAACATTTGCAATTAAGCTGACTGGACAAAAGGGTGTGACACACCACAGCTCCCAATGCCACCAGAACTAATGAAGAAGTATTGGAGAGGCAAGAAAGATGGTGGAGGGAAGAGGTTTTCTGTTTGTTTGTTTTTGTTTGCTTGCTTGATTTGGTCTGGTTTGGTTTTTTATTTTCTTTTAGGGGGTACTGCAGGGGTGAGAGGAGGATATCAGGGGACTGGGAGGTGAGCAGAATTAGGGTGCATGACATGAAATTCCCAAAGAATCAATAAAGAAATTGTTAGGACAGACACCAGGCTGACCCCGCCCCTGACAATGGGCGGGGCACACACAGGGACCTGCTATGCCATCACCACTTGTCACGCATTGAGGACCTGCGCGAGGACTCTGCGCATGCGTGGAACCTCAGTGCGCGTGCGCAGTCTTCCCTTTAAAAGTTCCAACTCCCCCGCCTCTCTCTCTCCTCTCTCTCTCTCTCTCTCCTCTCTCTCTCTCTCTCT